ATTAAATGAATATCTTATCTTATCATATCTTATCTTAAAAAAACTCATTTTCAAATGCTTCATTTGAAATTTTTTGAATCCATCATTAAATCAACGGCAAACTTATATACAATACCTCTAAGATGGCATTGAAGTTGCATTGAACTGCGTCCTTTTTAATAAGTTGCACTAATTGAAGTTGAATTGAATTGAACTGCATTGCACTTAAAGATCCTCAGTGAAGCTCATGTTTCTCATTAAATTTTGTCATTCTCTGAAACTGCAGTGATCAGTTGACAGTTTATGTCGGTTAACGATTGCATTATAAAATGTTAATATTTAATATAAAGTTTATCAAACGTACATTTACATTTTTTTTTACAACTTTGTGTAAATTATGTACATTTTTAGGAATTATACACCAACTTAACGATACACTAATGATTTTTTAAATTAACATGTAGCAAACAATCCCACATAGCCCTGCAGTACTCCTGTGACAGCACCCTGAGGTGTACCACCTTCTGCTTTAAACCTTTAAACCAACAGTCCTCGTTTGCTCTGCTCGTGTGTCGGCTGCGTCCTCACTTTGTTTTCTCCAGCACAGGTGGGGATCTAATAAAAACAGAGAGTAACATACGAGGCTCTGATGTGGCAGTATGAGTGCTGACATTTATTTAATGTGTGTGTTTTGTGTTGTGTCAGCCTACAGGGAACATTAGGGGTGACAGTACGTGGGTTGTAACACGGGGAACTAATACAGCTGAAACACTACTTCCCCTCTCACACATAAATGCACAAAACTCACAGCAGTTTCAAATAAACAGTATTTCTGCTAAATGTGTCCTCTGTTCGTCTGTGTGTTTCTGAGTGTGTTCTTGCATATGCATGTACTTTATCAGGGCCACTGATCAGAGGATAAATAAGGAGCTTGGTGACTGTTATCTGACACTCTTTTTCCTCCTCTCCTCTCTCTCTTTACTTCCTCTTTGTCCCTTTCTTTCCCCCCCTTAGTCTTCAGATTGCTGCGTCGGCCCATCACTGGTGAGCTGTGGTCACGCTGACTGTACTGACACGGTCCACAGTATTCACTGAGTAAGAAAACTGCAGCACTCTTTATAAAACGTTGTTAAATTGTCACTTTATTATACGGAGCCTGGAGTGTAACAGCAGAATAATTATAGACTTTTATTGTGTTCGATTATAACAAGTGCATACATTGATTCATTTCAAAACGCCATTAAGACTTGCATTTAAATGATGCATTATAAAGATTTTTAAAATTGAAATAAAATAAAATAATAATATTAATAATGTTGTCGTTCTCCTGCCAACACACAGCAGCTGGTCAGTTGGAGATCCAGCTGTTGTGCAGATGTTTAGACAAACTGCTGACAAATCTCTTAATTAAAGAGAGTTGTATTTAATTAAAGGCCTTCACAAAATGGGAACTATTTGTACATATTAAAAGAGGGAATAAAGAGTATGATAGGCAGGCACATAAGTGGATTGAATAAAAAAAATCTAAATCTTGCAGTTCTATTTTACAATTCAATCATTAAATATTTTTACTAAATAGTTTTATTGTTTGGTTGATTTATTCATTTATTTTTATCATAAAACAGTATATATTAAACCGGTGGCACACTCAAGCCTCCCTATTATTAATGCTTGATAAATAATTTAATAACACTCTACCATTAATAAGAACATCTTTTGGGTTGCCATGTCTACTTAAAGTGTTAATACAGTCACAGGTTTATAATGTTCAATAAGTCACCAAGAGGTGAGTTAGTAAGTTCATCTCCTCTTTTAAATATTAAGTCATTAATAGAAGGTTTTAGTATGTGCTTCCTTTTGTATGCTTATCCACTATTAATAAAGAGTCTTTATTGTCCTTTCCAGGAAGTGTGTTGCCACAGTCTGTACATAATCTCATACACATGACATTAACGCAAGATAGATCTAAACACATTTGTACATATATTCTGGTATTGACACATAATGGCTACCGGGGAGTTTTGTTGAGTAAAGCTATAATAATAATAATACATTTTACTTAAAGGCACCTCTCTGGGCACTCGAGGAACACCGTACAATACATAAAAATAAAAAACAGTAAGAAATAAGAAACAGA